CCAGCAGGGTGGGCAGGCAAAGCACAGCTCCACCGCGCCAGGATTCCTCCTCGAGGTGCCCCGTGCCCAGCACCAGCTGCCACCGGAGCTCCCGTGGCTCCCCGGTGCACCAGCAGCACTTCTCGGCCGCCTTCGCCATCTGGGCTCGACGCGGTGCTTCCCACCCATGGAGGTGATCGTCGCTGACAGCGCTGTGCCTGCAGGAGCCGTGGCACCAAACAAAACCTTGCCCAAAGCTGGGGCATGCAGAGAGCAGCGGGAGCTCCGCAGACCAGGAGCAGTAGCACAAGGACATCTCCTGCAGCGCCCATCGCAGCCCAGTGCCCTCGGCCACCACCCCACGCTGTGCCATGGGCTCAGCCTCGAGCTGTGGATGACCTCAGAGCAGTGACAACCTCACAGGCAGGGGCTGATCGCGGCTGCCCTGTGTGTGTTTGGATGGAGCAAAGAACCAAAGGCCCTGCTGAGCCCTGGCGTGTTTGCAGGTGTGTACACAAAAACCCAAAGTGCTCGAGGAAAACACAGCGCCCGTAATTCACAGGTAAAGGCAGGACACAAGAGCCAGAAGCAGCGTTACCATGTTCCAGAGGGCAACTCTTGAGGCTTTCCAGAGGTGGCTTCACAACAGCTCACAGCAGCCTCAGCGTGCTCTCAACCTGCCCAGCCGAGGCTGGCGGCGGTCCGGTGCCCCCAGCTCCTGCAGAGGGGCACAGCCACTGCCACCCCCCGCGGGTGGCACCCCTCGCTGCCATCCCCAACCTGCTCCTACCCAGCCCCAGCCTCTTCCCACACGAGGGATGCTGCCGACATCCTCATGTCAGGTCTCAGCCCCTGCTCGTGCTGATTCTGGCACCGGGCGTCCTCCCCAGGGCTCGTGCATGGGTGGGGGCCACGCGCTCTGCCCCAGCTCTGCCCCAGCTCTGCCCAGTGCCCTGGCTGCAGGGCCCAGATGCTTTGCAATCCCATCCCATCCCCTCCCCACCCCATCCCAGCAGCTCTGCAAGCTCCCTGCTGTGGGCAGAGCCCTGCAGGGCAGGCAGAGCAGGGTCACAGTCTGGGAAATGTCTCAGCTGCCAGCAGCCCCCGCAGCCACCCCGCACCAATGCTCCCAACCACGCAGACACCTCGGAGTGGGGCAGCACCGGTGGACTTGTGTTGGTTTAGCACAAGAGAGCTTTTCAGAGAAAACCTGGCTGGCAGGCAGACTGCTAAAATCATGCCAAAACTCAACTGGTGAAAGCTTGCATTTATAAATGAAGACGTAAAACACTACAGGAATAATTAACACCTACCAGCACTGCTCGGTAGAAAGCAGCTCTGACAAATATTTGGGTTGACAAACGTGAGAGCCTGAATGCAACATGCACTGATTGACACAGGTAATGCATTGCATGGTATTCCACCAGGAAATCAGTGTTAGGCAGCATCAATAAAACACAGCATAACGTAAAGAACTGGAGAGGTGATGGATCTCATGGAAACGGCTCCAAGGGTAGGGTCACCTAACACTAACCAGCTCTACACTAACCCATATCACTGAGCTCTACATCTAAACGTCTTTTGAAGACCTCCAGGGATGGTGACTCTACCACTTCCCTGGGCAGCCCGTTCCAGTGTCTAACAACCCTTTCAGTAAAGAAGTTCTTCCTAATATCCAACCTAAAACTCCCCTGCTGCAACGTTAGCCCGTTCCCCCTCGTCCTGTCACCAGGCACGTGGGAGAACAGGCCAACCCCTACCTCACTACAGCCTCCTTTAAGGTATCTGTAGAGAGCAATAAGGTCACCCCTGAGCCTCCTCTTCTCCAGGCTGAACAAGCCCAGCTCCCTCAGCCGCTCCTCGTAGGACTTGTTCTCCAGGCCCCTCACCAGCTTCGTCGCCCTTCTTTGGACCCGCTCAAGCACCTCCATGTCCTTCTTGTAGCGAGGGGCCCAAAACTGAACACAGGACTCGAGGTGCGGCCTCACCAGAGCCGAGTACAGGGGGACGATCACCTCCCTAGCCCTGCTGGTCACAGTGTTTCTGATACAAGCCAGGATGCCATTGGCCTTCTTGGCCACCTGAGCACACTGCTGGCTCATATTCAGCCGACTGTCCACCATCACTCCCAGGTCCTTCTCTGCCTGGCAGCTCTCCAACCACTCATCTCCCAGCCTGTAGCTCTGCTTGGGGTTATTGCGCCCCAGGTGCAGGACCCGGCACTTGGCCTTGTTGAACTTCATGCAGTTGACCTCAGCCCATCGGTCCGAGATCCCCCTGCAGAGCCTTCCTGCCCGACACACGCACCTGAGCCCCGCAGCGCCCCGCTCCGTGCGGCCCCGGGGCCGGTCCGGGCACCGCCGGCGGAGCCCCGCGGACGGAGCCTGCCGGTGCCCCGGGCTCAGCCGCCGCCGCTTCCAGCCCCGCCCGACCGGCAGAACCTCCGCCGCTCCGCCCCGCTCCGCTCCGCTCCCGGGCACGGTAAGAGCCGCCCCCATCTCCGCCCCGAGCCCACCCCGCAGCCGGGGGGGTCCCGACCCCACGCGCGGGGTCCCGGTGCCCCGGGGCTCGGTGGGGCCGCGCCGGGGTCCCTGTAGCCCCGGTGCTGCCCCGAGCCCTCCCGTGGTGGGGCGGGGGGCGCAGCGCGGGGCTGCCGGTGCCCCGGACCCCTCGCCCCGCGGAGACCCCTGGCAGGGCCCGGCAGCAGGGTCCGCACCGAGGAGCCCCCCCGTCCTGCTGGCCACGGGGCGCCCAGGGCGCAGCATGGCCCGTGCCCCCCAGACCCCCAGGAACCTGGGGGACCTCCCAGGGCCATGCTGCTGCTGTGCCCCGGAGCTGCTGCTGGGGCAGGGTGCGGGTGGAGGCGGCTGATGCCAGCGGGCAGACACCTCTGACACTGGCTGCCCCTTAGGGACACACTGAAGCGTGGCAGTGCCAGCTGGCCCACAGTGCCAACATCAACCGGCTGGAATCGGGGGGCTGGGTACCTGCGCTCAGCACCTGGGCCGGGCATGCTGAGGCTGTGGCTACGCTGCTGTGGATGGGCACAGAGGTGGATGGAGCAGATGCTGAGGGCTGCACAGCACTGCAGGCAGCCTCCTGGGCAGCCACAAGGATGTCACCTGGATGCTGCTGCGGCATGGTGCCCATGTGGACCAGACCCCCCTCATTGCCACTGCCCCATCGTGGAGCTGCTGCAGTCCTGTGGCTCCAACCCCAACCCTGCTGATGCCAACAGGCACGCAGCACTCTCAGTGGCTGCCCTCTGGGTGCCAGGCAGCCGGGGCTGCAGCGAGCTGGTGGAGCTGCTGCTGGAGCACGGTGCCCATGTGGAGCAGCACGACTGATGGATGGCCTCATGCCCCCGCTGGAGCTGCCTACAAGAACCACACCAGGATGGTGGAGCTGCTGCTGGAGGCCAGCGCCCAGGTGGACGAGGTGAATGTGGCTGGGCACACAGCACTGCTGGAGGCTGCCACCATGGGCCACAGGGCAGTGGTCAGTGCCCTGCTCTTCTGGGGGGCAGCCGTGGACCGCGTGGACCCTGAGGGGTGGACAGCACAGGCTGTGGCAGCAGTGCAGGGCAGCACAGCCATGGCACAGGCACTGCTGGCCTGGGGGCTGGACGAGAAGCACTGTGACACATGGGGCTGGAGCCTGCTGCACCTGGCTGCACGGGACGGCCACTGCCCCTGCCTGTGCCTGCTGCTGGAGAGCTGCCCAGCCCTGGACTGCTGCAGCCACGAGGGTCACACTGCCCTGACCACTGCTGCCCTGCGTGGCCACCACCCCACCACTGAGCTGCTGCTGCACTACGGGGCCGACCCCAACCTGCCTGATGCTGAGGGCTGATCCTGCTGTACCTGCTGGTGCTGGAGGAGCACCCAGCGCTGGCAGAGCTGCTGCTGGTGCCCAGGGCCAACCCGGAGGGCTGAGACACCCAGGGGTGCACTGCACTGCACCTTTCCTGCTGGTGGGGCAGCCAGTGCAGCTGCTGCAGCACGGGGCCCAGGTGGATGCAGTTGACAGGGAGCAGCGCTCAGCCCTGCACTTGGCCTCCTGGCACAGCCAGGCTGCTGCCTGCTTGCTGCTGGGCTGTGACACCCACACTGGCTAGGGCTGCAGCCAAGGGGTGACAGCACTGGGCACTGCTGCCCAGATCACGTTGAGGTGGTCTCGGTGCTCCTGGTACGAGGAACCAACCCTTGCAGTGCTGACAGCCATCACAGGACCCCTGCCTTGGCTGCCCAGCGTGGCCACATCACCACCCTGTGCCTGCTGGAGCATCAGGGGGCCCCAGCGGTGCCACCCCACCCAGCCCCACGCAGCCACTCACCTGTCTGACACCTCCCTGGGGAGCCCACCAGCCTCCTCCGCTGGCTGCTCACTGGCCGTGGCTGTGCCTCTGGTGCTGTCACTCTGCAGCTGCCCCCTGGGCACAACGGGCTCCCGTGGCCACTGTTGCCCTTCACCCCATGGGATGCCCGCTTGCACCCCAAGCAGGCACTCGAGCTGCAGCTGGAGGGGCCAACCCACAGCCACGGCTGCAAGAAGGAGACCCTGCTCTGGGTGAGGGTGTGTGGCCCTCCCCAGCCTGTGCCTGGGTACAGAGGCAGGGGGCTGCACAGCAGCAGTGCAGGCAGGGGCTTGGGCAGCGGGGTCACCCCAGCCTTACGCAGTGGGGTGGGAGCCCTGGCTGCAGCCCCCTGCCCGAGCCAAACCCCGTGGGGGCTGGAACCCACTGGTGGTGCCCTGGGCTGACACTGTGCAGATGTTGGTACAAAAATAAACACCGTGACCTGCTGCAGCCGTGTCCCTGCCCTGAGTGCTGGGGGGGAAGCAGGGTGCTGCTGGGGGCAGGGGGCTGCTGGGGGCCATCCTTCAGGCACAGGGGGGCTGGGAGGGGAGGGGGCTGCTGGGGCCCAGGAGGAGGCAGGGACCCAAGGCACAAGCGCCCTGCAGCAGGATGCAGCTATAGCACTAGCATGGGGGGGGCACCCCTAAAGGGACGGCAGCAGCAGTGCCCTCGACCAGACCCTTTATTACAGAAGGGCTTTGACACAGCACAGACACACCAGCCCTCCCCATGCACCACCCAGCCCCCACGCCCCATGCCCCGGCCCCGGCCCGCCGCCCCACAGCCCCCGTGGGGCTGCCCCACGGCACGGGGTGTTGCATAGAGAGGAGGGGGGAGGTGACGGGGTGACAGTGGGGACCCGGGGGTGGGGGGCAGAGCCGGCCCGCCCCGCGTGAGGCGGCACAGGATCCGGCCCTGCCGACCCCGGCGCATCCCCGCGGGCAGCCGCCTCCCCTTGCCGCACCGCAGCCAGCTCTCAGCACAACATTCACCCCCAATAAATTAAAAAGGTCCGTGCCCTGCGCGTGGTTAAAAAGGCCCCCGCCGCCCTCACTCCTCGGGGGGCTCGGTCAGGAACGGGGACGTGACCGCGTGGGCCTGGGCGATGGCCGCCAGCTCCTTCAGGAACTCGCTGAAGATGACGGCGCAGTACACGGCGTTCTTGACCCGCAGCGCCTCGCTCTGCTTCTCGGCCGAGCCGCGGAACAGCGCGGCCCCCGCCAGCGCCTGCAGCACGGGCCCGTCCCGCACCTGCTGCAGCGCCAGCTGCGCCGCCTGGCGCGCCCGCGTCGGGCTGTTGGCGTGCCGCAGGATCAGCTCGCCCAGCGACGGCTTCCGGCTGCGGGCTAAGGGACAGCGTCAGCACTGAGCTTGGGGCCCAGGGGGAGGCAGCCCCCAGCCCTGTGTGTGATGCAGCCCCCGTGCAGTGCCCCACGCAGCCCCCAAGCAGTGCCCCACGCAGCCCCCGCACAGCCCCCATGCATCCCCCACACAGCCCCCTGCGCCCCCCCCACCGCAGCAGCAGCCCCCCAGCCCCATGCAGCCCCCCTGCACTGGTGCGGCCCCAGCCCTCCATGCCAGCCCCCAGCCCTCATGGGGAGACCCTCATGGTGGGCGCTGCTCCCCCCGGCCCCAGCCCCAGCCTCACCCAGCGGCTCGGAGCGGCGCAGGGCCGGCACCACGCTCGGCGTGTCCGACCAGTCCAGCTTGCCCCGGGCGATCAGGTACTTCTTGGCTTTGAAGAGCAGCGTGGGGAAGTCCTCCTGGCTGGCAGCGAAGCTCTCGATCTTGTTCTTCACCGAGCCAAGGACCTGTGGGAGGGAGGGCGGGAGGGAATCGCAGCCAGCCCCGGGCAGATGTGTGCTTTTCATATACAAACGAATATAAATACATAATATGGATATAAATATAAAAATAAGCAAATGTAAAGCGTCTGTCACCATAGACACTTTATATTTGCTTATCAACCTACTCATAATATGCGTATATATATATATATGTATATATTGATTATATATATAGATAATATATACTGATAGTATGTATATATATGTGTATATATATATATGTATATAATATATGTATTTAATATATTATATTTGCTCATCAGCACTCTGATAAGCATTCTTTGGAGAGCTGGCCCGTTGGCACCTCCGCACTTCTGCTCCCCACCCATTTAAACACCCAACCACAACCCACCCAACCACAACCCCACCGGCCGTCCCTGCTCGCCTGGCCAGCGCCCAGCACCGCCACCCCCGGTACCTGCAGCAGGGACTTGACGCTGGGCTGGAAGACCATGTTGGTGTTGAGGAGGAAGGAGCGCAGCAGCGGCTGCGGGTAGCAGGCGAGCTGTGCCACCAGCCCGGTGAGCAGGAAGTTGACGTACAGCGAGTTGTGCAGCATGTTCTCCAGCTTGCCGAACAGCGCCGTCACGAAGGGGCCTGCGGGCAGGGGCACGCGTCGGACGCGGCAGCGGGGACCCGGCCAGCCCTCCCGCACCCTGCGCCCGGCCCCACCTGTGAAGGGCTGGCTGGGGGGCGGCCCCACGGCGCGCGGGGGGCTGGCGATGAGCTGCGCCAGGGGGTCCAGGGGCCGGGGCAGCACCCGCCCCGCAGCGTCCCCCGGCCCGGCCGGCAGCTCGCCCTCGGGCAGGGCGGCGAAGCTGGCGTAGGCCTCCTCCTCTTCGCGGGACAGGGGCAGCTCAGGCGGTCCGGGCGGCTCCTTGGGGCTGGGCAGGGCCACGCCAGCCGTTCTTCATCTCGGCCTCAATCTCCCGCAGTTCCTCCGTGAAGGCCTCGATGCTGACGTCCGCCCCGTTGGGCTCAGCCGGCGCCTTGGCCAGCAGCTCCTCCAGCAGCGAGTCCACGGAGGGCAGCGGCTCCCAGCCTGCGGGCTGTGGCCGGGGGCTGGGGGGGGCCGCGGCCCCATTCTGTGCCAGCCCCTCACCCTGGGGGCTCCTGCGCACCTTCTTCACCGCCACGTCCCCCTCGGGATGCCCTGGCTCCACCAGCCCATGCGCCCCGTTCACCAGGGCTCCCGAGTCCTGGGCATTGGGGCTAGGGCCCCCGGTGCAGGGCTCACCGGGTACAGGGTGCCCCCCCAGGGCCCTCCCTTGCCCCTTCCTCAGGCAGGCCCCGCTTCTTAGTCCGCGGGGTGGGGGGTCCTGGAGGGCGTGGGGCACCGCAGCCCTCGGGGCCGGGCGGGTGGCTGCCATCGGGTGGGGGGGCCGTGCCAGTGGCACTCGGCTCCTCGCCGTCGTAGGGGGCCGACCAGACACGGCAAGCCCAGGCACAGCGGTCGATGCTGTGGCGCGCGTCCCGCAGGTACTCCAGGTAGTTCCTGTCCAGCTCCGACACCTCCTCCCAGCGGCCGGCCCGGTGCCCGGGGCTGCCGCACGGCGTGCCGGGGGAGCGCGGCGGCACGGCGCCAGCTGCCTCGGGGCCGGCGCTCTGCTGCCGCATGAAGAACGCGAGGCGGGACGGCGTGGAGGGCTTCGGCACGGTCACCACGGAGGAGGCAGTCCACGTTGGGGCTGCCCTGGCCTGCAGGAGCAGAAGCAGGCGCTCAGGGCGGCGCGGGGCTGGGGGGCTCGGCACAGGGCCTGCAGGCGTGGCGAGGGGACCGGCACCGTACCCTTGGACCAGGCGGCGTGCTCCTCCTCGCGCTCCGGCAGCGGCAGGCTCTCGGGGCGGCAGCAGCGTGGGATGAGCGACAGGAATTTGGCGGCCGTCTTCCCGTAGATGTCCAGGTCCCTGACCGCCCGCTTCTGGCTCAGCATGACGTGGCTGCAGGGCAGCAGGTACCTGGGGGGACGCGGGGCTGCGCGCGGGGACGTGCCGAGACCGCAGGACGGACACCGCGGGGGCCAGCACCTGTCCCACCCCACCACCAGACCCCCCAGGGGTGCCCCCGCCCAGGCGCTTGCCCCTGCATGCCACAGCCGTGTCTCACCCCAGCACCCGAGGCAGTGCCCCAGCCATACCCTGCCACCGCAGGGCAGCAGCAGGCACGGCGCAGGTTACCTGAGCACCAGCTGCAGCATCACGTCCTCACAGTTGAGGCTGAGCAGCGTCCGGAAGAGGCTCAGGGAGACCATGCAGAGCTGAGGACCGAGGGGGTGTGAGGCAGCCGCAGCGCCCCACGAGCCGGCCCCACCACAGCCCCCGTGCCTCCTACCCGCGAGTTGCTGTTGATGCGGCCCACGAGGGTGTCGAGGATGGTGGCGTTGTCGTGGCGGTGCAGCAGCACAAAGCGCAGGAAGGTTTTCAGCAGCGCCGTCTCACTGACGCTGCGCAGGAACAGGTCCAGGTACGCCGTGCTGGCGATCATCTCCTCGATGGAGGTCTGCGGGAGCAGCAGCTGGGCGTGCGCCAGGCCGGGACCTGCGCGGGGCACCCCGCAGCCCTGCTGCCCACCCAAACAGCCCCGGCCGGGGCAGCCCCTACCTTGTGCAGCGCTGGCCCCATGACGGGCACCAGGAACCCGTTGTGCACGTAGTCCACCAGCTGCTTCTGCACCAGCGGGTGGGCAACCTGCAGAGCGGAGGGGTCAGGGCTGCCAACGCCACCCTGCGCACGCCACCACCAGCAGCGAGCCCCACCTGGATGACGGCGTTGCAGAACTCCAGCGAGTTCATGAAGAGCACGAGGGAGGAGACGCCGATCCAGTCCTCGCGGCGCAGGAAGTGCCAGTCATCCCCCCGCACCTCGATCTTGCGAGGCAGCGAGGAGTACAGGGCGCTCAGGCCTGTGGCCAGGACCTGGGGGGACAGGCACCGAGCACGGCGTTGGGACGTGCGGCCCCGAGCAGGGCACAGCCCCTGGCAGCGCAGGCACCACGCTAGCACCAGCCTTACCGGGCAGAAGTAGGAATTGTCGGTGATGGACTTGGCCACGGCGTGGTTGCTGGCAGACATGGCCATGATAAGCAGCAGCGCATCCCTGGCCTGCTGCCCCAGGACGCCCTCGTGGTGGATGAAGGGGATGAGGAGGGAGAATATGATGAGGTTGGCAGGGCCCTGGTCCGTGTGGCTGTGGAAGAAGAGCTCCAGGATGGCGGGCTCCTTGGCCACAGAGACGCAGAGCTGGTTGAGCAGCAGCACCAGGCTGTTCTCCAGCAGCGCCGAGGCGGGCTCGGCACAGAGGCTGAGCAGCCGTAGCAGGGGCGTGAGCACCGGCTTGTGCTGCAGCAGGGGCTGCCGGGCCTGGCTGATGAGCATCTCATAGAGCTTCAGCTGCTCCACCTTGCGCTCCTCCGTGAAGTCCCCCTGCAGGTGCCAGCACAGCAGGCGCTCCAGGAGGTTCTCTGCCACCACGAACTCCAGGATGGGCCCCGCAGCTGCGTCGCCCCGCGGCCGGTCCTCCGCCAGCAGGTTCAGCATCTGGTAGGTGTTGTTGCGCACGGCGCTCAGGTCGTCAGGGGCCGGCTTGCAGCCCCGCCGCTCCAGGATCCGCAGCACCTGGGGGCAGCAGGTTAAGTGCCTGGCCGGGGGGGTGCCCTGGGCTCGCCCCCAGCCCAGCTCACTCACCTGGGACCAGTGGTTCTTGAAGACCATGAGGCAGGTCTCGGGGTCAGCGGTGACGGGGCTCTGCAAGCTGGCGCTGCGGGCGGTGCGGTGCCCGGCCCCCCGGGGGTTCAGCTTGCTGAGCCAGCTCATCCTCTCCATGGGGACACGCCACGTGGCGGGGGGGGCTCACAGGCAGCGGGGCAGCACCCTGCGGGCTGGGCCAGATCCGACGTCTGCACGGCGGCGCTGCGGGGGCACGGGGCAGCGGCCAACCCACAGGGCCCCACACTCCATGCTGCTGTCACCACGGCCTGGGCTGTGGGAGAGCAGCGGCTCAGCATGGGCGGGCTGGGGCAGCAGGGACCCTCGGCCCAGGGACCGCTCTTCCCAGACCCCGCACCCCACAGGTGGGCGTGCCAGAGTGCAGCAGGGCACTGGCAGGACCCCTGCCCCAGGAGCAGAGCCACACTGCCATCACCTGCACCGCACCCAACCCTTCCTCGTGTTTTGGCACCGGGTCACACAGCCAGGGGTGACACTGGCTGCCCGCACACTGGCTGCAGCTGCGGGGGGTGAGGGAGCTGCTGTGGCCACCCTGGGCCCAGGGAGGGAACAGGCATGGAGCCGAACAGCAGCCTCCCCACACACACACACACCCACACCCCACATCAGCTCCAGGAGCACACGACTGGAGGGCACAGGCAAGCAGCAGCACCGGCATGGGGACGGCTCCGCGAGCGCTACCAGCTCACAGCAGCCCCAGGTCACCACGGGAGGCACAAGCCTGGAGGGGAGCACCCAGAGGAGCCCCCCAGGACAAGCAGCCTGGCCGGACCCCAGGCCCAGCCCCGAGGCAGCAGGACTGGGCAGGACATCACCTACCTGCGCTCAGGGCTGGGGCAGCAGCTCCCAGGCCTAGCACAAGGCCCCACGGTGCAGCCAAAACCTCTCAGCTTCACCCCAGCGCCTGCCAAGAGCCCTGCAGCGCTCACAGACAGGCACGGCCCTGCCCCAGCACCGGGCACCCGCTCCGGGGGGCTTGGAGCGGGGCCAGGGGGGCCCAGCCTCGGGAAGGGGCCGGGTCCTGGGCGCTGCCCTACAGGCACCCGGCAGCACCGGGAGGAAGAGGCGGCAGCGTCGGCTGCCAGGAGGTGGGACGGGACGGGACGGGACGGACGAGGAAGCAGAGCGGAGGAGGGCTCTGGCGCGGCTCTGCCTCCACACCCAGCCCTGCACTTTGAACCCCGGAGCCAGCCGGGAGCCAAGCGCAGGGGCACCCGGTGGCACCGGGAGGGCTGCCCCCAGCCCGGCCCCACGGCGGCAGCAGGCTCAGCCAGGCACAGGGCCCTGCAGCCATGGCACAGCGCGGCACAGCAGCTCACATACCCCAGCCAGAGGCACGAGTCCCCACGTGCTCAGCCCCTTCTCCCCACCAGGGCAGCACCGTGGCTCTCCAGGCCGTGCCATCAGCCCCTGCCGAGGGCACGGCACTGTCCCAGTCCCTGTCCCTGTCCCCAGCATCCTCCAGCCCCAACACAGCCACCAGCACTCGCTCGGGGTCACTGGGGGCACAGGGCACCAGCAGAGCCTGGCCCTGGGGCTGTGCCAGGAGCAAGGGGCACAGGGCCGGGGTGTCCCCAGCAGGATGGCTCTGCCCTGACGGCCACAAGGACCCAGCAGCTGGGGGCAGCGCACGGAGCCAAGGCTCCCACACTCCCTGCCCGCCCCACAGAGCCGTAGAGCGCCTGCGCTCCGTCCCCACACCTCATGCCGGGCATCTCCTGCTGCCCCCAGCACTGGCAAGGCCCTGGTCCCAGTGCTCCGCACGGCGCCATCCCAGCATGGCCTTCATGGGACCGGTGGGACACCACTGAGGACAGGAGGGCAGCACCGGGACAGCGCCGGGGGGACACCACAGGGCCACAGGCGGGGTGTGAAAGAGGCCACTCAGGGAAACCTAAACCACAAAAGGCACAAAAAGGGAAGTGAGCAGCGGCACGCCCAGAGCGCAGGCAGAGACCCGGCGTGGGAAGCGCGAGGAGCTTCGGGCAGCGGTGCCGGCGGCTTCCAGGCGGTGTGAGCGGCACGGAGCTGGCGCTGAGGGCAGCCGAGCGCCGCGCTGCCAGCAGCACCGCCGGGGGAGGCAGCACGCTGCCGCCGGGTATTTTAGGAAGCGGCCAGATGTATTTATACCACGCGGCGAGGAGCTTCCCATTCCAGCATGGGCGCAGCCTTACTGCAGTTGCTAAAGTTAGACCCTGAGGAGTCAGCGCGCCCAGCACCTCGCGCCAAGCGCCCGCAGCGCCGCCGCCACCGGGACAGCCACGGGCGGCACCCGCAGCACCGAGCCGCACCGGGCCCACGCCGGGCAGGGGGAGGCTGCTGACAGACGGACCCGGGCAGAGCGAGGCGCTCCGTGAGGCCCACAGGAACCAGACCCGGGGAGCTGCGGCTGCACCGGGACCGGCTGCATCCCCCACGGGACGCAGCATGGAGGGGGCTCGGCCCTCACCGGTGTCCAGCACCCACCTGGCACCAGAGCGGGGACTCCAAGAGGTGACCACGGTGCCGAAACTGCCCGGTCCCTGGGCCTCGCACGCTGTCGGCAGGGTGCGGGCTGCTTCCAGGGGCGCCGATAGCACCGCCGCCCGATGGCACCGCCGCCAGCCAGGCAGCACCAAGCACGGCCACCAGCCCGGTGTGTGCGGGCGGTGGGCACGGGGCACTACGAGCGCTGCCGCCCGGCACGGCCGCACGCCCGGTGCCACAGCCGGGGGTGTCCCAGGAGGCGCTCGGGACGCCCAGCCCCGGGCCGCCGGCAGCATCGCCCCACGGCCGGGCCGCGCCACGTGCCGGTGCCACTCGTGGAGGCACAGCCACCCCGGGCCTGCCGGACCGGGACACCCCGCGGGGACGGACGGACAGACGGACAGACAGACGGACACGGGGACACACGGACGGGGCGGCCGTGCCCCCGCGCCCCCCGCAGCCCCGTCCCGGCGCCCTCCTACCTGGGGTCAAGGTCGCGGGGCTCCGTCCGTCAGCGCCGCGCCTGGCAGGGACAGCAGAGGGGGGGTAAGGGGGGGACGGGAACGGGGGGACGAGAACGGGAAAGGCCACGGGGGGCGCGGGGCCCGGCCCCGGTGCGGCCCGGCCGGGGCTCCCCGGGGACACCGGGAGCGGGGGCAGAGCCCCGGGGGGGACCCGCCAGGGCCGGGCCGCGCCGCTCCCCGCACCCCCCGCGAGGACACCCGCGGCCGCCGCCACCCCCGGCACCGGGACCGGGTCCGGGCGCCCCGTCCCCAGCGCCCGCCGCCCGAGGACAGCCCCGGGCCGGGCCGGGTCCCCCCCCCCCCGCCGCGGCCAAGGGCACCGGCCCCGCCCGCCCCGCCCCTTCCCAGGAGGCCCCGCCCGTCCCCGGGGCCCCGCCCCCCGTCCCGGCCTTTCCCCGCCGCCCGCCCCCGCTCTCACCGGCCGCCTCCGCTGCGGGCCCCGCGCGCCCGCCGCCATCTTCCCGCCGCCGCCCGACGCACCGGCGCGCGCACGGCCCCGCCCGCGGCCCCGCCCCGAACACCGGCGGGGGCGGGGCCTGAGCCTCCGGGGGCGGGGCCGCCGCCTCGAGGCGAGTGCTGATTGGCTGCGCGGGGACCGGGGCGGGGCTCGGGGCGGGGCCAGGTGGGCGGCGGGGCGGGGCGGGGCGGGGCGGGGCGGGGCGGGGCGGGGCGGGGCGGGGCGGGGCGGGGCGGGGAGGGGCGGGGCGGGGGCACCGGGGCTGTGCGGGACCTGCCCCTGCCCCTGCCCCTGCCCCTGCCCCTGCCCCTGGACCGGCACCGGGCACCGGGCACCGGCCGCCCCCTCCCGCCCCCTCCCGCCCCCCGTCCCGCTGCCGGTCCCGCAGCGCCCCGAGCCCGGCGGCTCTCCGCCCCCACGGCCCCGGGGACGCGCACGGCAGCGCTCGGGTCCCGGTGCGCGGTGAGCAGCCCCCGGGGAGCCCCGGTTGCCAGGACCCGCCCGGCCCCGCCCGGCCGCGCCCCGGCCCCGCTGCAGCCCCGGTGCAGGATGCGGAACCTCAGCGCGGTGCTGTCCCGCCGCTGGGACCGGGCCCCGGCACCGCGCACCGGCCGCACGCAGCGGTGAGCGGGGCCGGGGGGTGCCCCGCCGGGGGGACCGGCACCGGGACCGGGACCGGGGCACGAGGGGGGTCCCCATCAGCACCCCTGCCCCGTGCGGGGCGGGGCTGAGCCGGGGAGCTGGGCTCGGGGGGGGCACGGCAGGGCAGGGGGGGTCACTGAGGGGCACGGGGAGGCACTGGGGGGCGGCAGGGTCCATCCCGGGGGGGTCCCATCCACCACGACCCCCCCGTGCCTCCCCAGCAGCGCTGCCGCTCCCCGGAGCTGGATCCTCGACCCCTCCGGGGACTGGTACTACTGGTGGCTCAGCGCCATGGTCCTGCCCGTCATGTACAACTGGATCGTCATCGTCTGCAGGTGCCGGGCTGCGGGGTGGGCGCCGGGGCTGCAGCCAGGGGGGTGCCCCGGGGGCTGGGGCCGGCTCCGGGCAGCCCGGTGACGGTGCCGGTGCCGCCAGGTCCTGCTTCGCCGAGCTCCAGGAGCAGCACACGGTGCTGTGGCTGAGCCTGGACTGCCTGAGCGACGCGCTCTACCTGCTGGACATCGCCGTGCACCTCCACACCGGTCAGTGCCCCAGCACGCCCCACGCCCGGCCGCTTGCACCAACACCACAGGCACCTACCCACACTCACAGCTACACGCGGTCACACGTGTGCACACACAGATACATGTACTTACACACGAAGACAAAGATGCACAAACCTGTGTGACATGCATGTGCACGTGCACACACACACGTGGCACACACAGACCTGGGAGCACAGCAGGCACTGGGCAGGGGGCGGGGGGGGGCGGGCTGACATTTTGGGGTGGGCGCCCATCTGCCGAGCCCCTCAGCAGTACAGCCACGCAGGCAGCACAGGGCCCAGTGGTGTCATATGGTGTCCCCCACCTCTACCAGCACAGGGCCACCCCACAGCCTCTCACCCCCCATTTGGGTGCCCCCTACCCGTGAGTCCCCTGTCCCCAGCCCCGCCACATCCCTCCTGGACCCAGGGCCCTCCACCCCCAGGGGCTCCCCAGGGGGCCGAGCGCTGACTCACTGCCCCCAGGCTTCCTGGAGGAGGGCATCCTGGTGCAGGACCGGGCGCAGATCCGGCGGCGCTACCTGCGCTCTGCCAGCTTCCCCTGGGACGTGGTCTCGGTGCTGCCCACCAACCTGCTCTACCTGCACCTGGGCCCGGCCGTGCCGGCCGTGCGAGCCAACCGCTTCCTGCGGGTCCCGCGGCTCTTCGAAGCCTTTGACCGCCGGGAGACACGCACTGCCCACCCCTACGCCTTCCGCATCGCCAAGCTGATGCTCTACGTCTTCGTCACCATCCACTGGAACGGCTGCCTCTACTTTGCCCTCTCCACCTACCTGGGGCTGGGTGCCGACGACTGGGTCTACCCCAACGCCAGCCGCCCCGGCTTCGCCCGCCCGCTGCGGCAGTACCTGCACAGCTTCTACATCTCCACCCTCATCCTCACCACCGTGGGTGACACGCCGGAGCCCCAGCGCGAGGAGGAATTCCTCTTCATGACCGCCGGCTTCCTGCTGGCCGTGCTGGGCTTCGCCACCATCATGGGCAGCATGAGCTCCGTCATCGCCAACATGAACGCAGCCGACGCCGCCTTCTACCCCGACCACGGCCCGGTGCAGCAGTACCTGCAGGCACACGGTGTCGGGGGGCGGCTGCTGCGGCGGGTGGCCGGCTGGCACCAGCACCTGCGGGCGCACAGGAAGCTGGTGGGGGAGCAGGCCGTGCTCCGGCACCTGCCCAGCCGGCTGCGGGCCGAGGTGGCCGCCAGCGTGCACCTGCCTGCCCTGCGCAAGGTGTCCCTGTTCCAGAGCTGTGAGCGCGGTGTGCTGGAGGCGCTGGTGCTCAAGCTGCGGCCCCAGGTCTTCAGCCCCGGAGAGTTCGTCTGCCGCACCGGCGACGTGGGGCGGGAGATGTATTTCATCCGCGAGGGGCGTCTGGCCGTGGTGGCAGCCGACGGCGTCACACAGCTCGCCATCCTGGGCGAGGGGCTCTACTTCGGGGAGATCAGCCTCATCAACATCCGAGGTGAGCCTCTGCCACACCCCTGCAAGCACAAGCACACCCCCAGCCCTGGCCTCACCGCAGCTCTGCATCCCCAGGGAACAGGTCAGGGAACCGTCGCACCGCCAACATCCAGAGCATCGGCTACTCAGACCTCTTCTGCCTCTCCAAGGAGGACCTGACGGAGGTGCTGGCCGAGTTCCCCAGCGCCCGCGCCCTGATGGAGGCCAAGGGCCGTGAGATCCTGCTGCGCATGGACAAGCTGGATGTGCACGCTGAGGCGGCGGCGGTGGCAGCAGCAGAGGAGGCTGAGCAGCGAGTGCAGGCGCTGGAGGTGGCCCTGGAGGAGCTGCAGACACGGGTGGCCCGGCTGCTGGCCCAGCTGGAGTCCAGCGCCTTCAAGCTGGCGCTGCGCATCGGGCGCCTCGAGAGCAGGGCCCAGCAGCGGCGCCTGGCCAGGGACCGGGCTCCAGCCAGGGACCAGGGGCCCACCAGGCTGCAGGGACCTGATGGGGGACGGGGTCCTGAGGGGGCACAGGGTCCCACAAGGGTGCGGGGTCCCACTGGTGTGCAGGATCCCATGAGGGCACAGGGTCCCACCAGGGTGCAGGGTCCCAATGGTGTACAGGGTCCCACTGATGTGCAGGGTCCCACCAGGGTGCAGGGTTCCACCAGGGTGCAGGGTCCCAATGGTGTACAGGGTCCCACTGGTGTGCAGGATCCCATGAGGGCACAGGGTCCCACCAGGGTGCAGGGTCCCACTGGTGTACGGGGTCCCACTGGTGTACGGGGTACCACCAGGGTGCAGGGTCCCACTGATGCGCAGGGTACCACCAGGGTGCAGGGTCCCATGGGGATGCAGGGTCCCACTGGTGTACGGGGTCCCGCTGGTGTACAGGGACCCACCAGGGGCCAGGGTCCCACGGGGGTGCGGGGCACAAGACGCAGAGGCCCCCGGCGCTGAAGGTCAAGGGACCTGTCCGGCTGTCAGGTGTGCGCCAGCGGTGACGCTGGGTGCTTTGTGACAGCCATCGCTGGGTAACGATGACAACAGTCGCTAGGTAACAAGGACAACAACCACTAGGTGATGGTGACAATAGTTGCTATGTAACAATGACAACAGTTGCTAGGTAACAAGGATGGTTGTTCATGACTGAGACGGGAGCTGCAGGGATGGGGCACAGCGGGCACAGCGGCCGCAGGAACCAGAGCGGGACAGAGACGGGGCCAGGGACACCTGGGGGGGAGAGGACAGGAGTGGGAAGGGACAGGAGGGGATGGGAACGGGGATGGGGTGGGAAGGGACAGGAGGGGATGGAGCTGGAGGGGACAGGAATGGGAGTGGGATGGGGATGGGGATGGGATGGGAAAAAGGATGGGTTCAGAAATGGGGATGGGGATGGAAAAGGAAGGGGACAGGGTCTGGACAGGGATGGGGACAGGGAACGGGAGAGGATGGGCAACAGGTCAGGATGCAACAGGGATGGGGATGGGACAGGGCCAAGGTTCAGAACAGGGACAGGGATGGGGATGGGATGGGATGGGGAAGGGGAGAGGGAAGGGAGGAGACAAGAGAGAGGGTCGGGGATGGGTTCGGACCAGGGGCAGGGATGGGGACGGGGTGGGGAGAAGGACGGTCAGAAAAGGGACACGGAGGGGGGTGAGATGAGGACGGAACGGGAAGGGGATGGGGTCGGAACAGGGATGGGGCTGGGGACGGGAGCGGCCACGAGGGCCGGCATCTCCGGGGCCCCGGCTGCGGCGGCAACGGCAGCGGCCCCGCGCCCCCGGGCGGACCCCGGCCCGGCCCCGGCTGGGAGCGGCGCAGCTGCGGCAAACAGCCCCGGGCAGCCTGGGCAAACAGCGGGCGGCACCCGCCGGCAGCCGCTGCCCGGGCACCCGGGAATGCTGCGGGGAGCGGCCGGAACGGCCCCGGCAGGGCGGGGTGCGCGCCCCGAGCCTCCCGAGCGCTCTGAGACCCGCGAGCCCCCCGAGCCCCTTGAGCCCCTTGAACCCCCCGAGCCCGTCGAGCCCCTGGGTCCCCGAGCCCCGGCCCCACGTGGGATCCCTCGAACCCGGTTCCCGCTGCCGGCCGGCGGCCCCCGCTGCTCCGCGGCCCGCGCCCCCCCCGGGTCCCCCTGCCCCGCCACCCCCAGGTTCTCCCCGCGCCGCCGCCGCCGCTCTCCCCCGCTCCCCCCGGCTCCCCCCGGGCTCCCCCCGCTCCCTGCCGCTGCCGCGCCCCCGGCCCGCCCCGCGCCCCCGCCCCGCGCCCCCGCCGCCGGGCGCCGCCCCCGCTCACTCTCCCGGCGGCTCCGGAGCGAGCGGGGCGGCGCGGAGCCTCCTCCCGGGGCCGCCGCCGGTGCCGCCGCCGGGGTGGGCGCGATGGGCACGGGGCGGCTCTGACGGCGGCTCCGGCGGCGCCATGGACCCGCGGCGCCTCAATGAGTCCCTGCAGGAGATGCTCTGCCGCCCCGGGAACGGCACCGGCACCGGCACGGACACCGGCACCGGCTCCGGCTCCTCCTGGAACAGCTCCGCCTGCGACCTCCTCCGCAGGGGCCTCCGCGGGCCCCCGGCGCCCAAAGGTGAGACCGGGGCGGGGTGGGACGGGACGGGACCCGGCAGCCGCTCCGTCCCGCCGTGCGCCCCGTCTCCTGCCCGGCGCAACCCGGCGCGCCCGCGGTTCCCCCGTGTGCCCCAGCCCCGCCAGCCCCGGTGCCCGGTGCCCAGCACACGGCAGCCCTGGAGCGCGGCTCGGGGCCGGGCTGTGCCCGCGCGGGGGCAGCGAAGGTGCCGGGCGGAGGCGGGCGCGGAGCCCCGCGGCGCGCAGCCCCGGTCCCGGTGCCCGTCGCTGGTCGCGCGGCCGGGGCTCGCTCAGCTCCCGGCGCGGTCACGTCCGAGCGCGGCCGGGGAGCGGGGGGCGCGGGGCTGCCAGCGCCGCGACTCCGGCGCCCGCCCGCTGCCCTGGTGCTGGAGCCCAGCCTGGGTGGCGTCGTGCCCGCCGAGCCGCGCTGGGGAGGGAGAGCGCCCGGGCATCCTGGCACCGCGTCCGCTGCAGTGATAGCCGCGGGGACGTCCCGGCTCTGCCCACCAGGCGCTCGCTAGGGCTGGTGAGAGCCCGGGCGCTTGGCTACCGTCCGCGGCCACACCACCCTCACCATGGCCGGTGCGCCCAGACATGCACTTGACCGCCTGTGACCCTGCTGCCCCGCAGACCTGGACCTGACAGTGCGCGTCCTGCTGTACGCGCTGATCTTTGTGCTGAGCATCTGCGGGAACGCCCTGGTCGTGGCCGTGCTGCTCCTGAACCGTCGCCTGCGCACCGTCACCAACTCCTTCCTGCTGTCCCTGGCGCTCAGTGACCTGATGCTGGCACTCTGCTGCATGCCCTTCACTCTCGTCCCCAACCTCATGGGCACCTTCATCTTCGGCAAGGCTGTCTGCAAGCTCATGGCCTACCTCATGGGTACGGTGGGTGGGGGGCTGGGGGGCTGTGCCACGCCGTGCTGCGGGCGCTGACCCTCGCTGCCCGCAGGCGTCTCCGTGTCGGTCTCCACCTTCAGCCTGGTGGCCATCGCCATCGAGCGGTACAGTGCCATCTGCAACCCGCTGCAATCCCGCGTGTGGCAGACGCGCTCGCACGCCTGCCGGGTCATCGCCAGCACCTGGCTCTTCTCGGCGCTGCTCATGCTGCCCTACGCCATCTACAGCACCACGCGGGCCGTGCCCGCCCGCGGTGGCCGCCCAGCCCTCAGCCAGTGCACGCACGACTGGCCCAGCGAGCACGTCCGGCAGGCCTGGTGAGCTGGCCCCAGCCCTGCACCGTGCGCTCCTGCACCCAGCACAGCCGCTGCGGCAGGGCTGGGAGAGGGGCTGCCATGCAACAGGTGCTGTCCTTTCAGGTATGTTCTGCTGCTTCTCATCCTCTTCTTCATCCCGGGTGTGGTGATGATCGTGGCTTACGGGCTCATCTCTCGTGAGCTCTATCGAGGGATCCGCTTTGAGTTGGACATCAAGGGGGAGGCTGCAGGTGAGGGGATGGGGAGCTGGGGACCTGCAGAGTCCTGCGGGACACAATTCTGCTCAGCACCTCCTGCTTGGGGCAAGCAGCGGGGCTGGGCCCCCGGAGCTGCGTCCCCTCCTGACACCTGTCGCATGCTGGGGAGGCCGTGCTGCTCCGTGCCTGGTGCTGCATGGGTCCGGGTGGTGCCATGGGGCTGGGGATGTGACCGTGTCCCGCTCCACCCCCCACAGCCCAGCGCAATGGTGGCCCGGAGCCGGCACCTGCCTGCGATGAGGGGGATGGCTGCTACCTGCAGCTCTCCCGGCCAGGCGGTGCGCTGGAGCTGCGTGCACTGGGCACAGCGGGCGCACAGCAGGACCGGGCACGCATCAACAGTTCAGAGGCAAAGCTGGTGGCCAAGCGGCGCGTGATCCGCATGCTGGTGGTCATTGTGGCCATGTTCTTCCTCTGCTGGCTGCCCATCTTCACCGCCAACACCTGGCGTGCCTTTGCACCGCGGGCAGCCCAGCGCGCACTCTCGGGGACACCCATCTCCTTCATCCACCTCCTCTCCTACACCTCCGCCTGTGCCAACCCCCTCATCTACTGCTTCATGAACCGCCGCTTCCGCAAGGCCTTCCTGGGCACCTGCACCGGCTGCCGCCGTGCCTGCCCGCGCCGCCCGCTCGATGAGGACGTGGCCAACGTCAACGCCTCGCTCTCCAAGTTCAGCTACACCACTGTCAGCAGCCTCGGGCCCCCATGAGCCCAGCCCCGTGCCCCTCCACCCCCGCCACCTCCCAGTCGTGTCCTGACACAGCTCCCTGTGCTTTGTGTCCCCTCTACCCCTCCAGCCTCAGTGGCACCCCCGTGCGCCCCCTCCAACCTGCCCCGGGGCATCCCCCGCGCCTGCGGGCTCTGCGCTGCGGCCCCGGGCTGAGCAGGGTGGCGGCGGCGGCCCCCGCGCTCCCCTCGCCCCGCCCGTGGGGCTGAGGCGGGGGTGATGGGGGAAGCCCCCAGCCCATCCCGGGCCCTCCCCGCTCGCTCCCCGCGGGCTGCGGCCGCAATAAAGCCTTTGCCTGCTGTCACCCGCTCCGCTTCTTCCCCCCCGCGCCCGGCACCGGGCAGCGCGGAGCACGGAGCCGGGCGGGGAGCGGCAGCGCCGGGAGCCCCGGGCTGGGTCCGAGCCCCGGGACTGGGACGGCCCCGAGCGGGGGGAGCCTCGCGGGAGCAGGGGGGGAGCGCCCGCATGCTCCGCACCGGCACCGGCCCCGGGACGGTCCCGAGCGGCTCGGCGCGGCTGGGGGAGCCCCAGAGCCCCGGGTGCTGCCGCCGCTCCTGCCCGGCCCCGGCTCCGCCCGCGGCTCACACCCCCGCGTGGGTGTGTGCACACCCGTGTGCGTGCAGGCACACGCAGCTGCTCGGGCTCGCACAGCCCTGCTCACACGGGCACACCGCCCTGCACACACACCTGCACACAGCCCTGCACCCCTGCGCACACGCACAGCTGCGCCCCCCGGGCACAAGCACAGCAGGTCCCGTGGGCAGCAGGGCAGGACCCACCGGGGGGGGCGGGGGGGAGGTGCCCCCGTGGGCAGCAGCGGGGGGTCCCCAGGGGCTGTGCTCCTGTTCACACAGCGCCCACCGGGCTCCATCTCCCACAGCCCCCCCGTGACCCCAGGTCCCGCAGCGCCCCAGGGGGGCTCCACCTGGCCGTGACCTCACGGGACCCCGTCCCCGGGACTCCCACCCGGGCCCCATCTCCCCGCTCCGCGCCCCGGTGCGCCCCGTCCCCAGCCGTGCCCCCGCTGGGGCTGCCCCCCCCCCCCCGGGACTACATCTCCCGTCGTGCACCGCGGGAAGCCCCGCCCCCCACGCGCTCAGGCCCCGCCCCCTGCCCCTGGCCCCGCCCCCTCCCCTCCCGGCCCCGCCCCGCTCGGAGCCGTCCCGGCCATGGCGGTGGGCGCGGGCCGGGCCCCGCCGCTGGCCCTGGCCCTGGCCCTGGCCGTGGCCGTGGCCGTGGCGCTGCCGCTGTCGGTGGCGCTGTCGCCGCCCGGGGCCGCGCTGCTGGAGGCGGCGGGGCCGCGCTGGGGCTGGCGCAACCTGACGTGCCCGGGCTGCCGCCTGCTCTTCGGGGCGCTCGACCTGGCCCTGCAGGTGCCGGGGGGACCGGGACGGGGCGGGGGGGACCGGGGGAGGGGGGAGAGGGGGGGGCACCGGGACGGGGGGGGAGGGGAGGGCACCGGGGCCGGAGGGCACCGGGGAGGGACGGGACGGGACGGGACGGGACGGGGGAGGAGGGGACAAGGGCGGAGGGCACCGGGAGGGCGAGAGGAGGGCACCGGGACGGGACGGGGGAGAAGGGGGGAGGGGAAGGGGACGGGACGGGACGGGAGGGCACCGGGGGGGAAGGGCACCGGGGAGGGGCAGGACGAAAGGGGAAGGGGAAGTGAAAGGGGAAGGGGAAGGGGGGGCACCGGGACTGGAGGGCACCGGGCCGGGCCGGGACGGGACGGGACGGGGAGGCAGCAGCACGGGGCCAGGGCCAGGGCCGGGAGGAGCCGAGGCTGGGGCTGGACGGGAACGGGCAGAGCGGGGCCAGCGAGGACGGGGCCGGGGCCGGGAGGGCGCAGGGATGGGAGCAGCGGGGCCGGGGCAGGGCCGGGGCCTCGTGACAGCCGCTGTCGGGACGGGACGTGCCTGGGGGTGGTCACGGGACGGGGATGGGATGGGGACAGCCGGGGACAGGGCCGGGCGCTGGGGCACAGAAGGGGAAGGGGAACCCGGCCGAGGCCGCCCGCTTCCCCTGGGGCCGGGTGCTGGCGGCACGAGGACCAGCGCGTGCCCATCGCCCACCGCAGCTGGAGCCCAACGTGGTGCGCGTGGGGCGCGTGGCGGCGGGGCTGTGCCAGGAGCTGCGGCTGGCGCGCCCCGAGATCTGCCGCCAGGCCGTGCAGCTCTTCCAGCGCGACGTGGTGGCCGCCTGGGCCCGCTCCGTGCTGCGGCCGGCCGAGGCCTGCGGGCTGCTGCTGGGCCCGCGCTGCGGCCACTGGGACATCTACGGCGCCTGGAACGTCTCCCTGCCCGCTGCCCCCAAGCCGCCGGTGCGGCCCCCGGTGCCCCCGCCGCCCGGCGCGCCCAGCGCCCGCGTCCTCTTCCTCACCGACCTGCACTGGGACCGGCTCTACACCCCGGGCAGCGATGCCGCCTGCCCCGACCCGCTCTGCTGCCGCGGCGCCGCCCGCCCCGGCCCCGGCGGCGCTGGCTTCTGGGGCGAGTACAGCAAGTGCGACCTGCCGCTGCACACCATCGCGGGGCTGCTGGCCCAGCTGCGCCACGCCGGCCCCTTTGCCGCCGCGTACTGGACGGGCGACATCCCGGCACACAACGTCTGGCAGCAGCGCCGCGAGGACCAGCTGCTGGCCCTGCGCACCGTCACCGCGCTGTTGCGCCAGCACCTGGGCACCCTGCCCGTCTACCCGGCCGTGGGCAACCACGAGGCCACCCCCGTCAATGCCTTTCCCCCACCCTACGTGCATGGCAACCAGTCCTCGGCGTGGCTGTACGATGCGATGGCTGAGGCCTGGAAGGACTGGCTGCCCCCGCCGGCGCTGGAGACCCTCCGGTGGGGCGGCCACACAGGGAGCAAGGGGCTGGGGGGGCTCTGGGCTGGCTGGGGGGGCACAGGGGCAAGGAGCTTGTAGGGCACAGAGGGACTACTGGTGGGAGGGTGCTTGGACAGGTCGGGGGGTGCAGACCAGGGGCACACAGGTGCCTGGGGCAGACGTGAGGGGAGGAAGGGTGGGGGGGTGTCTGAGGCACTGCAGGCTGCTGGGGGACGTGTGCCAGACACATGGGGATAGCAGAGCCCCGGGCAGTCAGTGCTGACCCCCCCCTTCCCTGCAGAGCCGCTGGCTTCTACACGGTGCAGGTATGGCCCGGGCTGCGCCTCGTCTCGCTCAACATGAACTTCTGCTCCCAGGCCAACTTCTGGCTGCTCATCAACTCCACCGACCCCGCGGGGCAGCTGCAGTGGCTCGTGGGCGTTCTGGAGGCCGCCGAGCAGCAGGGGGAGAAGGTGGGCGGCAGCAGGGTGGGGGCACCCCCAGCTACCCCTGTGCACCCCCCACCAGCTCCCCCTCTCCTGGCTGCTGCCCCTAGGTGCACATCATCGGGCACATCCCCCCGGCCCACTGCCTGCGGAGCTGGAGCTGGAATTACTACCGCATCGTCAACAGGTCAGCCTGCGGGGGACCCGCTCTGTGCCGGGGCCCTGCTGCGCCTGGTGCCATCAGGAGGCCAAGGGCGAGGGCTGGGTGGGGGCTGGCGCCAGCGGGTGCCGTGGGCGCAGCAGCCAGGCTGGTGCAACGAGTCCCGGGAGCAGCGGTGCCGCGGGGTGGGGCCAGCCCCGGGCAGCGCCGCGGGGCAGGGGACGGGGCCTGGCGCTGGCTGCGCTCACCCCTGCTGCCCCACGTGCAGGTTTGAAGGCACCATCGCGGCACAGTTCTTCGGGCACACACACGTGGATGAGTTTGAGATGTTCTATGATGAGGAGACCCTGACGCGCCCCGTCTCTGTGGCCTTTGTGGCACCCAGCGTCACCACCTACATCAACCTCAACCCTGGTGAGCGCCCCATCCCCTCCCCTCCCTCCCCCTCCCTTCCCCTCCTCCCGCTCTGGCTGCGGAGCTGCCCCACAAACCCTGACTGCTGCCCCCAGGCTACCGCGTGTACGAGGTGGACGGCGCCTACAACGGCAGCTCCCACGCCGTGCTGGACCACGAGACGTTCATCCTCAACCTCACCGAGGCCAACGTGCCTGGGGCAGAGCCGCGCTGGCAGCGCCTCTACCGCGCCCGTGAGGCCTACGGATGGCCTCCGCCTTCCCCGCCGACTGGGACCTGCTCATCCGCCGCTTCCAGGATGACGAGCGCCTCTTCCAGCGCTTCTGGTACCACTTCCACAAGGGCCACCCGCCCCGCGAGCCCTGCCTGGAGGCCTGCAAGGCGGCCCTGCTCTGTGCGCTGCGCACCGGCCGCTCGGCCGACCCCAGCCTCTGCCGGGTGCTGCGCCCAGCCCGGCCTTTCCGGCAGATCCTGCAGCTCTGGCGGCAGCGGCAGCTCTGCTGAGCCCGGGGCTGGCAGCGGCGCCAGGGGACACGTGGGGATGGGGACAGATACTCACCCACACTGTGGGATGGGAAGGGGCCCCATCCTGGCCGCACGGGGCCACCACTTGGCCCTGCACTCCCACTGGTGGCAGCCCCAGCTGGCTGCATAATAAAGGTTGGTGATGGAGAGAGCCGGCTGCTGGCCCCTGGGGGCCAGGAACCTCGTTCCAGCGGTGTGGAGCCGAGGGATGCTGCAGGGAAGGGGCTGGGCCGGGCTGGTGGAATGGGTTTATTAATTATTTAGTACAACACAGATCTTTGTTACAGCAGGAGGGGCAGCTCTGGAGCTGGGCAGCCCCGGCAGGGCCCCCGCACTGCAGGTTAGACCGCATGCATCGGGCAGGCAGCCTGCGCCCTGGCTGGGCAGCGCCCGTCCCAGGAGGCGGCGAGGCCGCCCCGTGCACGGGACAGGGCCCCGGGCCCAGCCCTGCCACCCTGAGGGCACGCACGAGCACAGGGACCCACGCGTGGGACGCAGCCGCCACCCGCCCGGGGACACTCACACACACACACGTGCCCCGGCGCAGGCATGCGCCCCACGGCACCCGGTGCAGCTGCCCCGTCCCAGTCCCGTCCTGGTTGCGGCAGGCAGGAGCGTGGGGCGGGCAGGGGTCTGGTCACTCCCCTCTGCTCTGATCACGGCGTCTGTGCCCCCAGGCGCTTGGGCTTCAGGCTGCCCAGCAGGGTCTGCACACCCTTGCGGACGGTGGAGCCCACCCGGCGGGCCACTGAGTCAGCAGGCGGCGCGGGCAGGCAGGAGCTGGAGGCCTGGGGCCGGGCGTCCAAGCACTTCTGGTAGCGCAGCTGGGGACAGGGGGTGAGCGGGGCCACGGGGGCTGCAGGGGGGGGCGCAGGGCCAGGGACACTCACCATGCAGGCAGCCTGCAGCGCCTCGCT